CTCATGTCTCCCTCCCCCATGGCCCTCACACCCCCATAGGGAAGAGAGACTGTAAGCAATTAGCCAAGTAACTGAGTCCTTCACAGCATGTTCGAAGGAAAAGCAGAGTTCAGTGGAGTAGGGAGCGGGGGTCAGGCTCCGTGTTAAGGGGGTGACCAGGGTGGCCCTCTGGTGGCTACACCATGACTTGAAGGTGGAAGGGAGGACTGGCAGACACCGTGGGAAGACAGCTCCAGGCAGGGGAGGCAGGCGTGGGCCTGGGGTGCAAGGAGGGGCCTCCAAAGGGGGTTAAGGGTCCTGGCAGGTCAGATGCCAGCCCCCGGGCCCTCCCCTTGGAGAAACAGGATGGGGGTTTCTGAGCGGGAGGGACAGGGGATGCCATGCCCTCAGCAGGCTGCGAGAACGGCCTGCTCCGTCTCCTGCCCGCACATCTCCCTTGCTCTTTCCCTCTCCTGTGAGCCCCGCACCCCCAATCTGGCCCCGCATATCAGAATGCTCAGACCACAGGGGCCGCTTGCAGCCCCATGAGCCCACGGCGCCACCACAGAGGCGCCTGCCTCCTCAGCACTCCACTCGGACCCCCACCCAGGCCTGTGGAGGACCCAAGCGCCTCTGGAACCTGGACTGAGTCGGTCCCTGACGGCAGCCGCCTTCGTCCGTGTCAGGAAGATCCCGAGACCCCAGCGGCCCAGGGTCAGCACTTGGCACCTGGCCTTCAGTCTGCCAGGCGCCATTTCCGACTATTTCCTAGGAAAACTGCCGTGGAGTTGGGTGTACACCGTGTCTCACAGTCTAGGAAGGGGCTCAGGGCCCTGGAGCGGTGGGGCTGGGGCTCGGGGAGGCTGCAGTTCTAGGAATGTGGGTCCAAGTCCAGTTCCTGCTACTCAGGCTTCCTCTGCGAGGCTTCCAGAGGGAGTGGCTGAAGGACCCACTGGTGAAACTAGACACTCACCCTGCCACCCAGCACCCGGCTCCGTGCCTGTCTCCTGTGGGGGCTCACACTGGACATGTCTAGGACAGAACCCCACCTCACCCCAGCCCCAACTCCTCCCCCTAGCTGGCCCTCGGGGTCCAGACAGCCCTCTCCCAGCCCCACCCCTGGCCTGGCTGGCCGGGCGCACTCTCTCCTGCTCCTCTGCCTCTGTCACTCTGCAGCTGGCCCTGCCCTCTAGCCTGCCCCTGTCAGGAGCCAGATGTCCCCGAGAGCAAACCGCATGGATCTCTTCCTTCCGGCCTCCACCCTTCCCCAGTCTCCCCCGCTTCATGGGGTCAAAGGTCAGGCTCCTGAACTCATTTCTGCCTAGTGACCCCCACCCGCCTTCCTGGATTGTTTGGTAAACTCAGTGTGAACCAGTCAAGTGGGGTCAAGGCACCGGTGCCTGGCCTCCCAGCCGTTACCATCCAGTGGCGAGGACCACGGATGATAGATACAGAGGCAGAAGACACATCCATCCTTCTAGGAAGGCCGCCGGGGGTGAGGGTGGGGTGGGAGGTCAGCAGCCGCAGACTGGCAGGAAGGGCTCGCAGAGCACTGGCCAGAAGGCTGGACACAGGCTGGTGGGAAGGCCGTCCCTGAGGGAAAGGCCCAGCCGAGGGATGACCGTTGGATGGTCACTAGCCCCAGGGAAGGTTCTGTGGGGGAGGGGGCACTCACTGAGCTCAGGATCTCAGGTGGGGGTGTGGGGGCCAGAGCTTGGAGGCGCACCCCCACCCCACTCCCTGAACTGGAAACTGCACTCAAAAACCCTGGCTTTGGCCCGGCCGGTGTGGTTCAGTTGGTTGAGCAGTGTCCTGTGCACCCAAACGTCGCCGGTTCCATTCCTGGTCAGGGCACATGCCCAAGTTTGGGGCTTGATCCCCAGGTGGGAGCATGCAGGAGGCAGCTGGTCAGTTGGTGGAAGGACAGAAGCCTTGCTCTGGTGGAGAGGCTTGGAGGCTGCTCAGCAGCTGGGGGACAGTGCACTCCCGGAGCCCAGGGAGAGCGCATGGGAAGAAGCATGAGGGGCCGCATCCGTAGGGCTCTGGCACCGGGCTCTCTGAGTAGCTATTCAGAGCCAAGTGTGACCAGGGCAGTGGGCTGTTCCCAGGGTCCAGGGCTCCAACTCATGCTTCGGGACTGGGGGGGGAGGGGAGGTACCCCAACATCCAGCCTGTTGGCAGAGAGAGCTGGGGAGAGAGGAACCCTCTGGCATCCTCCTGCAGGTGGGAGTGTGTGACTGGTGGGGAGTAGGGGGGCTTCAAAGGTCCAGGCAGGGCCATGGATGGGGCCTTTGTGCCCTGGGTTCCTCCTCCCTGGGAGCCTGGCTATCGGAGCCCATGTGGGGGTGGGGGCGGCTCCTCTGTGCCCGTGACTCTGTGTTTGCACAGGGGGAGGGGCTGGCCGGTGCCAGCTGAGAGCCTCAAAGGGTCGGCCAGCGCCTCTGCAGATAAGGCATTAACAGTCCTGTGGACTCACCCTTCGGATCTGCTGACGCTTCCTTTCAGCCTAGGTGCTTGGGGTGAGGTGCCAAAGGTTCCCTATAAAGTGCTGGGGCTCCAGCTGTGTCCACTCGACCTCCAGCTCCTGCCCTGTCCTGACGAGAGGGACCCACCTGTGATCACCATGGTGAGGCTTGTTCTGCCCAACCCGGGCCTGGACGACCGAATCCCCTCCCTGGAGCAACTGGAGGTCATCGAGAAGGAGGAGGCCAGCTCGCGGCCCAAGTGGGACAACAAGGCCCAGTACATGCTCACCTGCGTGGGCTTCTGCGTGGGCCTGGGCAACGTCTGGCGCTTCCCCTACTTGTGCCAGAGCCATGGCGGAGGTAGGCCGGGCAGGAGGGCAGGTTGGGGGTCCAGGCAAACAACACTGATGTCCCCAGGACCCCAGCACCCCATTCATAGAGGGGAGAAGTCTGCAGGGCCAAGGGCTGTGGGCAGGACAGCACAGGCTTGTGCCCTCCACCCCTTCGCTGGTCCACTTGAGCCCCACGTTGGCCCCGAGAGCAGGCTGGGCAGAGGGCTGGGCTGGAGCACGGGCCCAGGTGCCGACATCTTCACTCCGCTCCTGTTTGCCCGAGTTGGCAAGGGAGGTCCAGTGCCCCTTCCCACACGCCCAAGTGTTTGTGTCAGTGGAGGCCACCCTTGCTCCAGGACCCAGGAGCCCTGACCTGCTCCCAGAGAACAGGCCTGACCTGCGAGTAGGGGGACAGAGAGGGACCAACTGCTCCTCTGGGTGGAGCCCCTTCTGTGAGGGTGGATGGTGCCAGCAGGAGGGGCAGTAAGGCCAGCCCTCCTTTGAAATACCTTATGGCATTTCATATGAGGGACAGAGGAGGGAGTGGGTGACCCACAGAGGAACAGGCAGGCAGGCTCCTGATCAGCGTGCACACGGGCCAGAGGTGGGAAGTCTGCATCCCCCACGGAACGCTGCCTCAGCCGGTCCTGCTGCCTCCAGACGTCTCCGGGGTCTTGCCCGAGGCCCAGGGGTCTCCTTCCCCTGGGCTGAGGCTACTCCCTCTTCCCCAGCTGCAGAGACTGCCTTGGGGATGCTGGGTCTCAGTCCCCATGATTTTGTCCTTCCACCCACCCTCCCAGTGTCAACAGGCTTTCAGGGACGGAGATCACACCTGTGGTCCCATCAGCCCCCATGCACCTGTGGCTTCTGTCTCCCCTGGGCCCCGGCCCTGGGAGGGGAGCTGCTGCCAGGAGCTCCGTGGGCGGAAGGGGAACAGAGCTGTGCTTGTTCTGGGAGGAGGTCTGGGCAGGTGCTGCGCTCCCCGTGAGACAGGCTCTGCAGAGCTGGCTGGATGCTCTGAGGATGCGTCTGCTTCTGTGGGCTGTTGAATACCCTCCTCTAAAAGCACAAACCCTCTCTAGTGATGTGAGTTTGTTCTTACTCTGAAGAACCTGCAGGCTCTCGCCAGGCTTTGTGGCAGAAAGGAAAGCAGATGGGGTTGTTCCCAGGCCACTGTTGTGACCCACCCCCCTTTCCATGGCCAAAACGGAAGCTTCTGAATGTTGGGGAAGATCTGTCTTTACACCTGGGGCCCATCCTGTTCTTTCCAGATAGTCCTGTCGGTCACCTCTGCGCGGTGGAGGGGTGAATGGAACCCTGGGAGTCCGTGAGGGGCCCAGCAGTAGAATCACTGAGTCCCAGAGGTCAGCTGCCTCTTCCCTCTGGAAGGTCCTGGTCATTTCCCCACCCCCACCAGGGCTGCCCTGGGCCAGGGTTCTGGCAACACCTGCAGCATTTACTTAGTTCCAAAAGGAAGGGACTAAGGGGGGAGGGGGACCTGGGACTGAGAAGCATTCACCCCTGGGGTGCAGCACACACTCACTGTGAGTCTGAGGGGTAATGCGGGGACACTGCTCCAGACACTGTGGATGAGAGGGAGCTGTCCCCCATCACCCTGGGTCCTGCTGAGTGGACAGACAACCATTGAGGACAGTGATAACCCCCCAAGCTCAGGAGACAATTGTTGAGGACAGTGACAACCCCCCAAGCTCAGGAGACAATTGTTGAGGGCAGTGATAAGAAGCCGACACCAGGAGAAAAATGCCGAGGACAATGACAAGGTGTGGCAGGTGACTCCTCCCCGGTGGCATTTCCCACGCCTGTAAGCCCAGATCTCGGGGAGGGAGTGGTTGGGTAACTTGGAGAGAAAATGACGCATCTGAGGACTCTAGGACCAGTCCTGGTTTGGTGAAAACTTAGTTTGCTTTCAATTATTTCTAAGAGTTTGGGGTAATTTGAAAAGTAAAACAAATCATCATTTGCTTTGTGTTTAACTTTATATTATGAAGAAAAAAAAGCAGAAAAGTAGAGAAAGCTACAGAGAAGACCCCTGCCCCCATGACCTAGATCAGCATCTGCAGCACTTTGCCATGTTGAGTGGGGTGGTGGCCGTGTGCGAGTGCGTGCGCACACAAAGCCCCCCGCGTGCTGCGTGACATTGAGAAGCGTTGTCACAAGAGGGCCCCACCTTCTAGATCTCGGATGGGGGCATCTCTGTGACCAAAGGGCAGGTGAATGGGGCACCAGGTGGGCCGTGTCCTCTAGCTGCATCACCTCAGCTGCCTCACCCTAGTTCTCTTTTCTCCATCTTCTGCGTCTGCCATCAGCAAACAGCAGGGTGGAGTCACCTCTGTAGAGTCCGTCTTGCCACCAGTCAGAGGAAATGGGCACGTGTCATGTGTCTCTCGATGGGTCAGTCAGGACTGAATCGGGTGGCAGGGGCAGCCCGGGTGAGGGGCCAGCGCCTCTCCTCATTCAGCCTTCAGGGAACAGAGAGAGGACCTGGGGGACCCACAGCCCCTGTGTGGGCGCTGGGGCAGGTGGGCTCACAGGCCCTTTTTGGAAGACGGGTATTTCAAAGGTCTCAGAAGTCAGCCCTGAGTTGAGTTGATATCACCATCTGTGTCCTGGCCCTGTTTACTCTGCTGTGCACCTTCTGGGCCATAGGGCTCACCCCATGAAATGGAAGGTGCTGGAGAGCTCTGATCCAAGGGCTGCACCACAGAGCTACTCTGTCGAGCTTTGCAGACCTAGAAGTGGGGGGCACGCAGGAGATTGAAACCAGGAGACTTGGTCAGAGTCAGGACTCACCCCGCTCCCTGCGTTGGCCACAAACAGCCGGGTCCCGGTGACCAGATGGTCAACCGTCAAGAGTTCTGCACCAGCACCAGGCCCAGGAGTGTGTCCAGGGGAATTGCATTCACCACACATCTGCCCACAACCTCAGTTCTCCATGTGAATGCACCACATGCCTGCCCCAGTGCTGCCACCTGACACATGGTGTGCCCCTCATCCCTTCTTAGGGACAGAGAGCTTAGGAGAGTTGGTGTATTGGTGGGGTGGGGGGTAGGAAGCAGCGCCGCCCAAGGGCCATGCTGTCTGCTCACCACTGGGCCGTCCATGTGCCTCTGCAGCCTGGTCCCTGGGACTGCCTTTCACCACTGGTCCTGGCGCTGCACCCAGTCAGTACATAGTCCTCGAGAGCTTTTCCTCTGTGTCACGCACCACCTGCAGGGGAGATGTGGGAAAGCCTTAGACCAGCGGTTCTCAACCTGTGGGTCGTGACCCCTTTGACAGTCGAACGACCCTTTCACAAGGGTCGCCTAAGACCATCCTGCATATCAGATATTTACATTACGATTCATAATAGTAGCAACATTACAGTTATGAAGTAGCAACGAAAATAATTTTATGGTCGGGTCACAACATGAGGAACTGTATTTAAAGGGCCAGAAGGGTGAGAACCACTGCCTTAGACCCTGCCCTTGAAGACAGCAGCTGCCCCTACCCAGCCATCACTCCCCTCCCCTCCCCCACCTGTTTCCTAAATTCTCAAAGAGAAAGAAAGCTGCATCCCTTTATTTTATTTTAACTTATTTGCTTACTTACTTGTTTATTATTGATTTTTTATTGATTTGAGAGAGAGAGAGAAACATTGACTTATTGTTCTACTTATTCATGCATTCATTGGTTGATTCTTGCATGTGCCCTGACTGGGGATTAAACCCCCAATATTGAGGTATCGGGACGACGCTCTAACCAACTGAACTACCCGGCTAGGGCCAAGGAAGCTGCATTTCTATGCTAGTGTATCTTTCTTCTGCGGGACCTTTACACCTTGCCTCGTCCCACCCGTCTCTGCCTCTGTGTGTGTGTCCATCAGTGTGCAAGGGCACAGGACCGCGGGCCCCTACAGCCAGGTCTGCCGGGCACCCACCACGTTACACCTGGAGGAGCGTCCAGGAGGAGGGCTTCCTAAGGAGAGACTATCCAAGTGGGTTTTTCAAGGGTGAATAGGAGTTTCCTGGTGGAGATGGAGGGGCAATGGGACCTGTGGGTCAAAGTGACTTCATGAAGTAGGGATGGGATCAAAGGATATCTGGAAACCACAGACTTTGTTTTCCTCGATAGTTTTGCCCAAAAGACATTCACATCAAACTTCTGAGAAAACAGTAAAGAGGCAAATCTTTTCTTATTTTAACTCTACCCTCACTGATACTCTGACCCAGTGAGCCTGCAGCCACAGTGGTACCCCAGACCCAGGGCAACTCCCCACTCCTCTCCTGCAGGAGATCCAGCAAGGGGATCATCCCTGCTGCTCTCTGCTTTCATCTCATTATCACAGTGAGCTAACCATCAGCTTTGAGTGAAGGTCCCCTGTGCTGTCCATGCCTTCTTGTTGGATTTTGAGCCCCCAAAGGGCTCCCCGTGACCTCCCCATGCTCCTCCCAGCATGTGGACACCTTCCTTAATTCCCCAGGAGCTGTCATGTGCTCACCCTGTAGGACAAGCACGGTCTAGGAGGGACAGTAGACAAGCCGGCCACTGTTGTGAGATGGCATGAAGCATCCCCCATAAAACAGTGCCAGTGGCCGTCATGAGTGGTGCATTTGATGGTGTTGCTCTAAGTCTGTATTTGTGGGCAAGTTCTGCAGGCACTTTCTACCAGCGCCTGTGTCTCCAGGGGGGGCCGTGGCCACCTGGCTGTGTTACCTGACACACGGCTGCCTCTTCCCCACCAGGAGCATTCATGATCCCGTTCCTCATCCTGCTGGTTGTGGAGGGTGTTCCTTTGCTGTACCTGGAGTTTGCCATCGGGCAGCGACTGCGCAAGGGCAGTGTGGGCGTCTGGAGCTCCATCCACCCAGCCCTGAAGGGCATAGGTGCGTGTCTGGGCCAAGTCGGTGGGACCCCTGCCAGGCCCCAGTGTGGGCAGCAAGCACACTTCTTCCTTCTCTCCTTTCACCTCTGCTTCCAGGGGACTCACCACCCCCAGCCCTCTACAAACCCTTCCTTGGCATCTCACAGAAGTGTAGGTGGCAGGGCCCAGGCTGGGGTCATGCCTGGCCACTAAAGCCAGCTGGGCAGCAGAGGCTATCCTGAATCCCGGGTGCCCGGGACCTGGGAATGTGTATACGTGGGGAGAGCTGAGGCCCCCATGCTGCCTACAGCAGGGCTCAGCAAGCACCTGAAGACCACCACTCTGTTTTCTGGAACCCTGAGTCCATTCACACTCAGTCCTCAAGGGACTCCCCCAGCACAACCTCTTCCTGCTAAGTGCCCAGACCCCAGTGGGGCCCCCCAGTGGTGCCCCCTAGTGGCGTCCCAGCAGTGTTGATTGCCCCCCAGGGATCGCATCCATGTTCGTGTCCTTCATGGTGGGCCTCTACTACAACACCATCATCGCCTGGGTCATGTGGTACTTCTTCAACTCCTTCCAGGATCCCCTTCCTTGGAGCACGTGCCCACTCAACGACAACCTGACAGGTGTGTCCAGGGCAGGGTGGGGTCAGGGGTCGGGGGACAGGATGGCTGGTGGTGCGAGAGCATGTGCACCTTTGAGCATACAGACCGAGTCCATGAGTAGTCACCCTTTGATTTCCTCAAATGCAAAAATCGGAGCACATTTATGGCAACAGGGAATTTTTAAAAATCACTGTGCCAGAGAAAAGCCCTTAGAAAAGGTGCCTCTACCTCAAGAGGTGATGCCGGCCAAGATTAAAATGAAGGAAAGGAGGGAGGGACCTGCTGCTCCCTGACCTTATACAGGGGGTGGCCTGATTCTCCACTGTCCCTTCCCACCACATTCCCCAGGGTCTTTTTGGGACCCCCTCCAGGGAAGGGAAGGGGGAAGCAGACCCTCTGCCTGGGGCCTCTGTGGGACACAGGCTGTGTGCTCAGCTCCACAGCTTGCACACATTTGCATCAGGACACAAACTGCATGATCTGTAAGCATGGGTCTAATAAGCAGGAAATGGTCAGTGCACAGTGTGTGTGTGTGTGTATGCATGTCTAGTGTGCTCACACTTCTGTACGCACACATATATGCACATGTGCACATGTTTGCACTCAGGTATGCCCGTGGGTACATATGTGTCTTGTGAGTATGTACACCTGTGTGCATGTGCAAATGTGTGAAGGTATGCTCGGATGCATGCACATGAGCATGTCTGTGTGGGTGTGCACACATGTGTGTACATGCATGCAGCTATGCTTGTGTACATGCACACGTGTCTGTGTGGGTGTGTACATGCATGTCTGTGTGCACTATGTCCCTGGTGTCAGTGAGTTGGGAGCGCATTGCCATGTTCCCCATCCTCCTCCTGGGTTCCCTGTGATCCACACTGATGATGTGAGTGCCCCCTGCAGGCTATGTGGACGAGTGTACCCGCAGCTCTTCAGTGGACTACTACTGGTACCGAGAGACCCTCAACATCTCCAACTCCATCAGCAACTCGGGCTCTGTGCAGTGGTGGGTTCTGCTCTGCCTGACCTGTGCCTGGTGTGTCCTCTACGTATGCACCATCCGTGGCATCGAGACCACCGGCAAGGTGCGAGCTGGGCTTCAGGAGCTGCTCCTTAATCAGCTCTGAGGGTCACCACCCGTGTCCAGGAGGGGCCTTTGCTGCCTCCAGCTTGGCCCTGGGGATGTGGTGCTGGCATGGATGGTCCTCAAACCTGTGCTTAAAAAGCTGCAGCAGGAGTGACCCACAGTAGTTCTCTGACTAGGAGGACTGAGTAGTCATCATTACTAATATAGCAGTAGGAAACGTCAGATCTCCCTGCCCTGGGAGCTGGGGGCAGAGGGGTGCCTGGAGGAACAGAGCCAGGGTCCTTTCTTCCTGTGGGTTCTGTCTTCCCCTTCATCCCACTTCTGCCCTGTCCCCAGGCTGTGTACATCACCTCGACGCTGCCCTATGTCGTCCTGACCATCTTCCTCATTCGGGGACTGACGCTAAAGGGAGCCACCAATGGTATCGTCTTCCTCTTCACGCCCAACGTGAGTCTCCCGCTGCCCACCTTGGGGCTCCAGTTCTGTGGGAAAGGCCACCCTGGAGGATGGGCCTCCCACCTGAGACCAGCCTGGCCAGTCCCAGGCCCCTCAATGCATGCATGCTGGGCCTGTGAGCTTGAGGGAGGCCCTGTGCGGATTGATGGCAACCACCTCCAAGTTATCAGTTAGGGGGCGTTGTTTGTTCTGACCACCTTCCCAGCAGCCTCGGCTGTCCCCAGCCTCCAGGCTCACATCTCTGCCATGGGCCACTACCTCCTCGGTTTCCTGTGGCCCCTCGTCCTTGGGGTACCAGCTGAGGGTCTCTGTTTGGCTGCAGGTCACGGAGCTGGCCAACCCACTGACTTGGCTGGATGCGGGGGCCCAGGTCTTCTACTCCTTCTCGTTGGCCTTCGGGGGCCTCATCTCCTTCTCCAGCTACAACTCTGTCCAGTGAGTGTGGACAGGGGTTCTGGGCTGGGCAGAGGGCTTGCCTCATGCCCCACGGGATCATGGGGGTCCATGGAGCTCCGTGCCAGGGAGGCAGGCTTAGGATCTGGGAGATTTTCACACACTAGGTACCTTAAGCGTTGACTGTCCTCCCCGTGGTGCCTTGGTCCTGGGGATGATGATCCCTGGTGTGCTCCCCTCCATCCCCTATAGCCCCTTCTGGTTGCCCTTTGGCATCCAGGACCCTAGGTGCCCAGCCACCACAGTCCATCCTGTGCCCCCTATCCCACCCTAGGGGCCTTTGGAGGGAGGAAGTTGTTATCAGTTCATCTCACAAACACTTACAGAGCACCTACTGTGTGCCCTGCATGGAACATGAGGTTCTGTCCTCCTGAGACCTGTGGCTGTGGCCTCTTAGAGAGACAAACAAAATGAGCAGGAGGAGGGGTCCCTGGAGGGGTGTGGGACCAGGCTGGGGTCCTCAGTAGGATGGGCTTGTATGCAGAAGGTTCAGTGTGAGCACTCAGACAGGTAGGGGGTGAGTGCCAATGCCTGCTGGCTGCTGGCCGCTGGCCGTGGGGGATGGTCCCAGAGGGTGGGAGCCCAGCAGGGCAGTGGTGAGGCCCGATTTCTCCACACCTGTTACTATCTGACTTTTTGATGAGGTGTCTCACTGTGGTTTTATTTGCATTTCTCTGAGGGCCGAGGGTCTAGGTTTCTGCTGGAAGCATCTAGAACAGTGGTTCTCAACCTGTGGGTCGTGACCCCTTTGGCGGTCGAAAGACCCTTTTACAGGGGTCGCCTAAGACCATCCTGCATATCAGATATTTACATTACGATTCATAACAGTAGCAACATTACAGTTATGAAGTAGCAACGAAAATAATTTTATGGTTGGGTCACAACATGAGAAACTATATTTAAAGGGCCAGAAGGTTGAGAACCACTGATCTAGAAGGATGGGTTAGCATTAACAGTGGGACCAGTGGGAGAGCTGCTGGGTTGGGTTGGGGAGGTGAGGGGTTGGGTTTTGGACACATTGAGCCAGGGAAGCCTTTAGGCTCTGGGTGGAGATGGGAGCCCTCAGCTGGGAGGAGACAGGACCTGGAGGGACCAGGCGAAGGCAGGGGGGTACGGTGGGATAGGGGGCACAGGAGGTGATGGGAGAGGGGCATGGAAGGGTAGGCCACCTCTTCAGAGCTTTTGGGGTGTGGCTGCGAGACCCTGGCCCGTCCCAACGGCATGAGGCTGAGTGCTCACTAAGTGCCCACCCTCTGGGCGCAGAGCACCTGCTGACCAAGCAGGAATTGGCACGGGTTTCCCGCCCAGCTTTGGAGTGTGAAGGCTCTAAAAGTCCCCAGGGCTTTCAGGGGTCTCCAGGCCACCAACTTGCAGTGAAGTGGTAAGAAGGGCAGGAGCAAAGGGCCACTGGCTGGGGGATGGCCCTCTGGTCACCTCTTGCTGGGTGCAGTCGGGGAAGGACAGCTGGGAGGCTGTGTCCCCTCTCCCGCAGCACCCCAGCAGCTCAGGCTCAGGGCAGGCTCCTTGCCTGTGCTGACATGGCCGGGCAGGTGGGCATGGTGTCTCGGCCTGCAGTGACCCGATGCCACTCTCATCTGCAGCAACAACTGTGAGATGGACTCGGTGATCGTGTCCGTCATCAACGGCTTCACATCCATGTACGCAGCCACCGTGGTCTACTCCATCATCGGCTTCCGTGCCACAGAACGCTATGACACCTGCTTCAATCAGTGAGTGCTCCTCCTGGCCCTCACCCACCTCCGAGGAGCCTGCCAGGCCTGCACCGCCCAGAACCCATGTCAGCCTCACTCTCTTTTCTCTCCAGGAATATCCTGACGCTCATCAACGGGTTCGACTTGCCCGAAGGCTCTGTCACCGAGAAGAACTTCGAGGAAGTACAGCAGTGGTACAATGCCACTGACCCCGCAGCCTTCGCCCAGCTGCAGTTCCAGACCTGCGACATGAACTCTTTCCTGTCAGAGGTGAGCGCGTCTCTCTGGGACAGCGCAAGGCAGGGGAGGGGACACCCTTGAGGGTCACTGACCTCCCCCAGGATCTCAGTTCCTGGGGGCCTGTCGCCATCCTCACGGCCCGCCCGCCTCTGATCCTCCTGCCCCACCCTGGTGCTTGCACCCCTAGGACCCCTCAATCACATACCTGCCCTGCACCTGCTCTAACTGGCTCTAACCAATAATGGGCGATACCTTCAGGGCAGCTATTTAGGGGACTCATGCAGGCCTGTTGAAGTCATTCGGGGCTCTTAACCTGGCCATGTGGGGTGCATCTCAGGAATCGTCTGTGGGGGTGTGCGCCCTGTCTGTGAGCAGATGGCAGTCTGCATAGCTGTCACATGTCTGTCCAGACAGCTCGAGCCCTGACTGCTGCTGGAAAACGCAATCCCCTTCCTGCCGTTTTAACTAGTTCAGCTTTTAAAAACATAGTTGGGCTGAAGAGACAATGACCGTATTTCACAGGACGGCTCAAAAGAGCCCCATACCTGCACAGTGTGGGCGTAGCCTGTGGAGAGCTGACCGGTGTTTGGCAGGGAAGGACGTATGTGACTGAGGCCGGGGGACCTGGGGAGTGACTGCCCTGTGTGGGTGACACTCTGCTTGTCCATGCAGGGCGTGGAGGGCACGGGGCTGGCGTTCATTGTCTTCACGGAGGCCATCACCAAGATGCCCATATCCCCACTGTGGTCCGTGCTCTTCTTCATCATGCTCTTCTGCCTGGGCCTGTCCTCCATGTTCGGGAACATGGAGGGCGTGGTCGTGCCCCTGCAGGACCTCAAAGTCTTCCCCAAAAAGTGGCCCAAGGAGGTGCTCACAGGTACACAGGCCTGGGCAGGCAGGTGGTGAGGACAGGCCTCAGGGGTCATGGGTGGGAGTCAGACGGGAGCTCTGTCCACAGCGACTGTTCTCTGCCCCCAGGTCTCATCTGCCTTGGGTCGTATCTCATCGCCTTCATCTTCACGCTGAACTCCGGCCAGTACTGGCTCACCCTGTTGGACAGCTATGCCGGCTCCATCCCCCTGCTCATCATCGCCTTCTGCGAGATGTTCGCTGTGGTCTACGTGTACGGCGTGGACAGGTAGGAGGGAGACTGAGGCATGTGGCCATCTCCAACAGTCATAGGAAACTCGCATCCTGGGATGGGTTGTGTGGGCTCCAGTCCCAGGTGGAACACAGGTGTGCGGACACAGGCCTGAGGGACCGGTGTGGTGTGGGCACAGGTCTGGCACCTGGATGGGTGAGATGGAAAAGAGATGGATCCCAGATGGATGCCCATCCAGAGCAGTTGACACTGTACCCCCTCCAGCTTCCAGGTGCTCCCAGACGTAGCAGAGAAGGGTAAGCCCAGACCATAGAAGACGGCATAGTCTCAGGGTTGGGAGAGAGGAGACAGCCTCACAAATGAAAATGCTGGCGCCTGTGATCTGACCATGTGACTTAAAAACATTTAAACCCACGTGTCCTAAGCAAAGTCAAAAGAGAAATAATTAGCTAGGGAAACAGTTGCCCAGCATGTGGGTGAAGCACTGGTACAGCAGAAGCCCTCGGCAGGCGAGATGTGACAGAGGGACTGGATAAGGCAGAGGGTGCTCAGTGTCCTGTGGGGCACAGAAGCTGCCTCCAGGGCTGTGGAGCAAGCAGG